CAGTTGCATTCCCAGGGTACCGGCCACCAACAGCTTCTTATGCATTTTAACATTGCCACCGAAGGAAACTTCTGACTTCTGAAAGCTTACCATCTGGCCGGATTCCCTCTCATATGCCTTTAAAATCTCTTTCAGTGCCAAACTCTCCTGTTCATTCGCCCTACCAAAGAAAACACAATCATCAGCGAAAAAATAGATGGGTTACTGTTGGACCTCCTCGTGCCGGCTGGATGCCATGAATATGTTTCTTCACTGCGGCCGCCTTTGTGTATGCAGACAGGCCTTCAGCACACATGAGGAATAGGTATGGCGATAAAGGATCCCCCTGTCTCAATCCCCGACTTGGCTTGAAGCTCGGTGATTGATGTCAATTGACCAAGACAGAGTATGATACTGTCGTTACACACATCATTACCAGTCTACTCCATTTTTCTGAGAACCCCATTCGGCTCATTATCCTCTCCAGGAAACTCCATTCCACCCTGTCGTATGCTTTCGCCATGTCAATCTTTGCAGCAAATAGACCTTGGCCGCCACTTTTCTGTTTCTTTTTCATGGTGTGGAAACATTCAAAAGCGGCGATGATATTATCCGTTATAAATCTTCGAGGGACAAAAGCACTCTGCTCCGGGGAGATCACCTGGTCCAGTACTAACTTCAATATATTGGCCAACACTTTCGCCACCAGCTTGTAGATGACGTTACACAAGTTTATCGACCTGAATTCCTTTGGTGAGGTGGGATTCTTCACCTTCGGAATAAGGGCGATAAGAGTGTGATTGAGTTGATCTGGTATCTCTGCTATCTCCAGTATTTTGATCACCATTCTCGTAACATCGTTACCTATGATGTTCCAATACTTTTTGAAGAACAGTACTGACATCCCGTCAGCTCTCGGTGCCTTACGCTTTCCCATTTGTTTCAGAGCTAAGATCACTTAATGTCCATCAAATGGTCGATCAAGTGCAGCATTCTGCGTAGGAGTCACCGAGCTCGAAACTGAGTCCGGTACTGGGGTGATCGACGGCTCCTCTCCTGCAGTAAACAAGCAACCAAAGTAGTTAGTTAAACACTGGAACAGTTGTTCCTGTCCCACCGCCCAGCTCCCATCATTGTTCATCAACTTCTTGATCGTGTTACGGCGGCGCCGTTCTGAAGCTTTTCTATGAAAGAAGTTTGTGTTCTGATCGCCTCCCTTTAACCAGTCCGCCCTCGATCGCTGCTTCCAATGAGCTTCTTCATTGCGCTCAGCCTCGTCCAACTCCATTTCTAATTGCTTAATCTGGTCCGTCGCTGCTGGGGTTCTGTTCAACCTTCCCAACACTTCCAGAGCTCGTCGAATTCAGTTCTTTTGTTTTTGGAAGTTTGGGAATGCTCGACGACTCCAAGTCTCCAACTAAGACCTGCAAAAAAGCAATTTTGTTAAGCAGTCCTCTTGATTTGGCCGAGACCATGCTTCTTCTACTGTTTTTCGGCAGTCCTCATATCTCGTCCAAAAGGGATCAAAACGAAATAAGCATCCCCATTGGGGCTCTTCATCCTCCTCCCCCATCGTATCACATAAGATTGGAAGATGATCCGACCGGTCCTTACCCAGATGAGTTACTTTCGCCTGTGTGAACAGAGATTTCCACTCTTCTATAGCAGTAAAACGATCTAACCTCTCTTGTATAAAGTTATCGCCATCACGTCTATTCTCCCACGTAAATTGCCACCCTTTAAACCCCAAGTCATGTAATTCAACATCGGTTAGGCATGCTTGAAAATCGGACATCTCCTGTTCCGCCATTGCTCTCCCACCCGATTTTTCAGCCGGTAACAACACCTGATTGAAATCTCCACAACACAGCCAAGCTCCCTACCATTGTTGTGCCAATCGATCAATCAACTCCCAAGTTCTATACTTTTCATGATTTTTTCGGCCAACCATATACGCCAGAGAACCGCCAAGTAGCCCCATTCTCTTCTATAATCTTTGCGTCCACATGGTTAAAAGATATTGACATTTAGTGACGTTTAAACCCTCATGCCACCATAAGCTAATTCCACCCGCCCATCCTCCACGAGATCGATCAGTAGACCAGCTGTCACCTTCCTCAAACCCCAATTCTCGCCTCGTAAGTACGTTTTCATCCTTCGTTTGTTTAGTCCCCATTAAGAAGACTAATTGTGGGGATACTCGTTTCAGAAGTGAATCGAGTGATTTAACTGCACGCTTCTTCCCTAAACCGCGGCAGTTATAGCTAGGGATTCTCATTGATGACCTGAAGGGGATCAGTTCCCCGCATCATTCTTTGACGAATTGTTATTAAGAGCATTAGCTGGTTCAGTACATTTCCCCGCTCCTATCTGCACTGCGCCCTATTCCTCACCAGCTTTATTACTATTATGTGCTTGGACCTTCATTTTTCCATCACCCAAATTCTTTTTTTCATTGGTGCCCAATAGTGCCCGTTTCTATCATTCTTCTCGACAATGATGGGGCGATTATGTTGAGGAGCTTTCAGCTGAGCCGCATCCACTCTTCCCCCTTTGGGCATTTGTTTCCCACTATCTTCCTTGCCATATGGCTTATTCTTTTTACCACTAAAAGCTTCTTTATTAATCACGTTATCCTTTTGATAAGTCTTCCTACCTTCCTCGCTGATTACAGTAGCTTCCACACTTGCACGACCATGCAGCTCCTCCTGTACGTGGTTCAAAGAGGCAAATCTGTTGCCATTATGCTCGGCTCGATTGGAACCAAATTTTTTCATCACAGGGTTACCACTACTCCTAGTTAATTTGCGCTCCTTCCTCTTCACCATCATCCACTCACCAAATGCCTGCCCCTTGCTCGGATCTTCCTCCTGTGTTTCTTCAACCATTATTACTTCATCAACATCCGGCTTTGGGTCTGGACTTTGACATTGGCATTGTCTTGCGGGTTGGCCATACGAGCCGCACTGGTCACATATATTCTCCAAACCTTCGTATTGAATCAGATACTTCTTTCCTTCAATGCTAAAATTTCCGAGGAGTGGCTTCGTTAGATCAACTTCCACACACACTCTTGCATACTTGGTACGAGCACCCAGTTCAGTTGCCCTATCCACTCGCACAAGTTTCCCAATCTTCTCAGCTATCATCATCACCGCTTCACGATTATAGAATTCTACGGGGGATTGCCTGCAGTTGAACCCATACCATTGTGGTCTTTATTTCCGTGGTCCATGGGTTAAAACCCTTGAACCAGCGATGAAGCGTTAAATAGGTATCCCCAGTAGTCCAGGGGCCACCCGTCGTGGCAAAATCATAGTCTCATTTGTCCCGAAACCTGACCAGGAAGCACCCATTATGCATGTCTGATATCTGGAGGTCTCCATGTCGTGCCCATAAGGAGTTTAGCCTGCGGGCCAAGGGGACATATGATACCCTCCTTCCTAGTCCTTTGACAACCAACGCAGACCTCCATTCTCGCCTCCATTTACGTTTTTGAGTTGCCGTATATAGGATTGGAGGATAGGTAGGGTCGTCATTCTCTTCATCCAGCTCATCATCTTCCTCCCTATCCATTAGAATAACATCTTCATAATCCGAGTCCGCCACATACCGTCTTCTGCTACCACTTCGCCGAATAGCTTCGATCTCCCGTTGTTCCATGTTCCATTCGGTATTTCTTTTTCCTGTGGCCCCCTATCAGGGCCTGACTGGGTTACAACTCCAACATCAGTTTCCATCTCCGCTGTAGAGACACCCTCCAAATCTCCCATTTCTTGGTCCAAGTTAAGCGGTCTTACTCTCTTCTTTACCTGAACAGTTTCCTTCTCGCTCTTTCCATCCGGCGAGTAGGTCGCTGTCGGGGGACGCCGAGCCCCACTAATGTCCGGAGCCTTTTTCAGTGGCGCCCCTGTGGTGGATGGCGCAGTCGCCGCCATTGCGAGCAAAAAACCCTAGAAACCTCGTATTCGCTGAAAAAATCGCCGCTCCGCAAAAGTCGCTCTCAATGGGCACACTATGTTTTTTCATCAAATCTATCTTCTTTCTATTTCTCAATCTTTTCCTTGTATCCGTTCAGCCAAACTAATGCCACAACAAAAATAAAATAAGGAATCAATACCAATACGAAAAATCCATAACAGCCTAGACAATACCATACCATTGCAAATCTTTTTTTTTTTAGGGGAAAACTGATGTAGACTTTCATTGAACCAGTCAATCAAAAGTTTGCCTCAAGGGCTACAACATCAACAATACACAGAGGCATAGGCTCCTCCCAACTCAATTCACCATCACAAATAAAGAAAGTGTGGGCAAGTAGATGGGCCATGCAATTTGATTCTCTAGGTGTAAAACTCCACTCCCTCACCCCTGCTTCATTTCCCAATTCAATTATACTTTTGCAGATACTTCCAACTTCATTCCTGCATTCTTCATTCCTCTTTATCCTTTCCACAAGCCTCTTACAATCTGATTCAATGATCACTGGTGTCAGTCCTCTTTCCATATCCTTTTGAATCCCAAAGATCATGGCTCTTCCTTCTTCAATTTCGGGTGCCCATTTGATATCCTCACTTTTTGCAGCAGCCAACACAGCACTACCTCTATAATCTCTTATGATACAACCCAAACCAGTATGACCTCTGTTGTTGATGCCAACATCCACATTAATCTTGAACATACTATCAGGAGGTCTTTTCCATCTGCACTCCTTCCTGTTAATCCTTTGCTTCATCTCTTTTTCACGACCCTGTACTTCCATAAAGTCTTGGATATAGTTATAAGCTCTCGAGAAGACTTCACATTCCTGCAGAATTTTATTGTTGAAGAGGAAATTATTCCTTTCCTTCCAGAAAAACCACAACAAGGAACAAAAGCTGCCCAACTTTACCCATTTTTACAACACCGAATGACGTTTTTACGAATTTTGACTTGACCTTTTTACCCATTTTGATTACCGCTTCTTACTAATGGTCTTCCATCCGATTTGTATAAAATATCGATTCAACTTGATTGTACCGACCTACGTACCAATGGTTTGACAACCAGAATTAGCACGCCAATCTTCGCACAACTCACAAGTGGAAAGCAAGTAGAAGTATGTAAAGAAAAATTGGGTTTTCTAGTTTTTCTATCTTCTAAGTTCTAACCATCTCTGTGCCGGGCCTGTCTTGTGGTAAAAATATTTACTGTGAAAGCCCAATATTTATAGGCTCATATGTAATCTGTTCACTGGGCTGGGCCCCGTGATGTGTCGGTCTTCTTGGATCAGAAAAGTCAAAATTCTTGTTTGCCTTGTCGATCCTGAGATGTGAAAACGGTACGCGCTATCTGTGCTGCAGATTCAATGATAAAGATCTTTTGTAGAATTAAATAAAAAAATCTTTTGGTTAAAGAAAAGAGAATGAGGAGTTGAGCCGACTGCGAGCGAGCCAGTGTTCAGAGCTTTTGGAGCTCTGCGTGACTGTGAAATTCCCCAAGCAAGTCCAAGGTTAGTCATTTCCAGTATTCCGCCCACCTTCCTTCATCGCTTCGAACCCTAATTTCCGACTCCCAATTCCTGCTCCATCCAGATCTTCGCTCTGGAAATGGTCTCCTAATTCATTTGCTTTTACATGTAATTGCTTCCGCTAGACTGTGCCCTAGGGCGGAAATTTATGGGTAGTTGATTGACTGTCCGTTGTTTGTTTGGTGCTTGTGGGAAATGGGGAGGAAGAGAATATATTGAGAATTTTGGCGCTTTTTGCTTCTTCTCTTTGCCGATCGGTGGAAAAATGGGGAAGGAGAGGAGTAGTGTGGAGTTTGATTGGGTTATACTTTTCCGTTTTCTGTTATTCATCTTGAAAATTTGTGTTTCCCTTGGCAAACATTGCAAAGTTGGTAATGTGGAGGTGGGTTTGTCTCTCTTAACATTATGCTCGGAATAGCGATTTTGTCTTGGCTAAGAAGGTTGAACTCAGGGTCAGGGATGCTGGAAGGAAAACTATGAGAATTGATTTCAATTTGGTGTAACTCAACCTGCTTGTTTTTTTTTATACATGTGTGGTGTTTATTTGCGGTCTCAAGTTTTCTTTTCCGACCATTGTGGTTTTAGACCTGAAAGGTGGTGTATTTGGTTAAATATTTGGTGTATTTGGTGTTTGTGATGCTGATTTGGTTAAATATTTTGGACAGGCATTTTGCAGGCTCCATGCATTTCTGTTGTCTATTACACAGCAGAGAAAGATTGCAACTTTGGTCACAGAATAGGTGACACGAGGCAAGGGTGTCAGTGTCGACTTGTGAAACGGGGGAAAGAAGGTGTTTGAGATCAATATACTGAAAAGGGGGTTCTAATGGAGTCCTTATGGAAGCTTCTCTATTTGCTGGAGCCTGCACCTGTTACCCTCATACTGACGGCAGTAGCTGTCACATTTGGATCAGCGTTTCGAGCATTAAACTACGGAAAAGAAATGGAAAGAAATCGTGACTTATCAGAAGCTTCCATCACATTAGATAGTTCACAAGCACTGATGATCCCGGTGATGAGCTCTTGCAGCTTGCTTTTGATGTTTTACCTGTTTTCTTCGGTTTCACAGCTGCTCACTGCATTCACGGCCGTTGCCTCTGTTTCATCACTCTACTTCTGTGCCTCTCCTTATGCCGCCTATGTGAAGTCATATTTTGGTCTCTCGGATCCTTTTGTTTCACGTTGCTGTTCAAAGCCCTTCTCTCGGATCCAGGGGTTACTCCTGACGGCTTGCATAGTAACAGTTGTTGCATGGCTTGTTTCTGGGCACTGGATATTGAACAATCTATTGGGAATTTCTATTTGCATTGCCTTTGTCAGTCATGTCAGGCTTCCCAACATCAAGATATGTGCAATGCTGCTAGTGTGTTTGTTTGTATATGACATATTCTGGGTGTTCTTTTCCGAGAGATTCTTTGGTGCCAACGTCATGGTATCAGTGGCAACACAACAGGCTTCCAATCCTGTTCATACAGTTGCCAACAGTTTGAGCCTTCCAGGCTTGCAGTTGATCACAAAGAAACTCGAGTTGCCTGTTAAAATAATCTTTCCGAGGAACTTGTTGGGTAGCACATTTTATGGAGGAACTGCTTCTGACTTCATGATGCTTGGACTCGGAGATATGGTGAGCTTTCCCTGATAATACAGCATCTCGTTGAATAATTTTTCTGCTTGAATAATCTTCTCTGAAGCTCTCAATGGTACTGCAGGCTCAATTTTTTAGTCTTTCCGAAACAGCAGTGCTATAGTTAATGTATATATAGTTTAGCTTCCTTTCTTCCATTCTATTTCTTGGTTAGAAAAATGAAGAAGAAAGGTTTTATGTCATTCCTAGAGAGATTATGACTGTTGGGTTGTTGCAGCTTATGTTAAAATATCTGTTGTTTCCCTGCTGTCATGCATACTAGTGAGGTCATTCCTTGATTTGTCTATCAGTAAATCATAAGCAGCATCTTCTCTTTATGCATACTATACTTTTTTGCTTGATTCTGTAGATCGGTGTAGTTGTGTACTATCTCATAGCATCTCTAGGATGACCATAGGCAATACAAATGCAAGTAATGAATACACGATGATTAGCTTCAACGATTAAGAAGTTATCAGCATATCATATCCATTCATGCATCATGTTAAATGTAGGTCACAAGCACTATGGACAACTTATGCAACTTGTATCTGAGAGTGTTTGATCCACGGAGAAGAATTTTTTTCTTTATGTCCACATGCTTCATTTGTCTCTTGCAGGCTATACCAGCTATGCTTCTGGCGCTAGTCCTTTGCTTTGATCATAGAAAGAGCAGAGATACAGTATCTCTTCTGGAACTACATTCTTCCAAGGGCCATAAATACATCTGGTATGCTCTCCCAGGATACGCCATTGGTCTAATAACTGCATTAGCAGCTGGCGTCTTGACTCAGTCTCCCCAACCTGCTCTTCTTTACCTGGTACATATTAGATTCGAGATTAGCCATCGATTTGATTAATGCAGGTTTTGTCTGGTAACTTCATATCCTCAAATGTATTTTGACTAATGCAGGTTCCTTCTACACTGGGACCTGTGGTTCTTATCTCCTGGATCAGGAGAGAACTAGACGAGTTATGGGAAGGAACTGTTTCTAATTCTACTGATAAAGCTCGCCAAATAGAAGCTTGATATCAAGCTGAACAAACCAGGCGCTTGCTGTATGCTTCTTGCTGGGGGGAGTGAAGTTGCAAATGATGCAAATTCAGTTTCAGATTCTATCCTTTGAAAAAACACTCAGTATGGAATATGGATAGAAGTGAATGAATGAATATTTATGTTGTTCAAACTTTGAGCGGCCTCATGTAAAAGACTTAAGTAGTGATGATTTAAGTGGAAAGGAAGCAAGAAAGGTCGAGAGCTACTCTGAGGCTTATGATGAAGAGTTCACTGTGTTAGTTATCAAAATTCTAAATCTTGGTTAATTGAGGCTTACTAAGTTACTATGATCCATTGAGACCATTGGATGATGCTCATCATAGCTCATATAATAATTTGTGTAAATAAAAACAGTATTATGACATTACGTAATGTTTTACAGTTCTACCCTACAAAATACTTTATATCTTTATACTCATATATTTTAATTACATGTTTGCCAAACCACCCAATTACTTCTGTAATGCTAACTAAGGGGATATCAAGACAACTGGACTATTCTAAATTTTGCAACTACGCTATATTACGAAAGCTGGTGAATCAGATTACAGCAATCTGAGACACGAGATTGATGTACATTTTGAGAAAGCCATCGAAATTGGCATAAGCAAGAGTAGAGATTTTCCCCAGGAATAATATTTTTTTTTATACAAAAATAGAACCCAATCACAAAAAACGCTGGGTGGAGGCATGATTTTTGACGAAAACCGCACGGGTAGAGGGCGGTTTTGCTCACTGCATGGGACTGGGGGCGGTTTGGTTGCAAACTGCACCCCACCTGGCGGTTTATAATTTTTTTCCAACGTAGATGTCATAAGTGGTTTTGGCACAAGTAGTTTAGTTATTTATTGTGTGCAACAGGTCCTAGGTTTGAAACACCATCATACCATATTCAATCTTTTTATTTAGTAGAGATTAAAAAAAGCCACATGTTGTGGAGGTGGTGGTTCAAACTCAGATAATAAATAGTTAACTAAATTTAACACAACATTTACACCACCAAACTACAACTCTTTTGTTGAAATAATTACACATTGACAAAAATTTACTCCTTTAACGCTAAAAACCCCCCAATAACTTTGAACAGCTATAACTTTGGGCTCCAAAATTCGAATGTCATGAATTTTTTTCATTTCACATAAGTTTTTAAGGACTATAATTTTTACTAGGAATGGATTTTCAAAACAGAAATTATTTTTGGATATATCGGGTTTTGGGAATAACTTTACCTTCTATTTTCACAAATCCACGTACATTACAAAATTATCTCTATGATAAAAGTTGTAAGACTTAAAAAGTTAGGCGAAATGGAGAAAAAAAATTCACGACATTCGGATTTTGGAGCACAAAGTTATGGCATTGGTAACGCTACCAGTGCACTAGTACAAAATATCATATCTAAGTTTAAGTGCAGTGGTACAAATATCAGTGCAATGGTATAAAAACCACAACTGCAATTTAAAAAGCCAAATCTGAAAAATCAGAAATAAAAAAATCATAACGGTGGTAGAGGGAGGAGAGAAGAAGGATTACTATTGATGGCAATTTCAACCCGCCCGGCGGGTATTACCCGACCTGACCCGTGATGGGGCGGGTATTACCCGACCCGCAGTAGCGTGGGGCAAGGCATGGGTATCTACTTCCGACCCGTCCTTTTCTAGACTCATTTTATCTCAATTTCTTACAATATCTATACATATTTCTCCTATTTTGACTTTTCTTCAACTAGTTAGAGTCGATCTTTCAACTTGTTAGACTCAAATTTTTTTTGACAAAAGATAATCTTATATTGATTCCAAAAAAAGATAGTTACATCCTGGATATCAGCCAGGCCTGAAAATTAAAAGCACGACTCATAGTCGGGTACACGGAGAGGGCTTTCCTAGCCACCAAATAGGCTACCCTATTGTTACGCCGACCTACGAAACGAACACTGAACCCAGGGTTGCTGTCAAAATGGTTCACCACTTCCTCCAGTACAACACCCATCCTGCTATCTCCTGTATCCGCGCGCCTGATTTTGTCAATGACCAATTTAGCATCCCCTTCAAACCTAACAAAGGCTAAGCCTTGCCCCAGACACCAGAGAATCGCCTCACGTAAGGCAAGCAGCTCCACCACCGTAGGATCATCCAGGACAGGAAATTGGACCCCTATGGCCCTTAGGACGACTCGAGAAGGGGTCATAAGTACTAGCCCACCAGCTGAATGCGGCCCCCTCCTCGTGGCACCATCCCACCCACAGACAAACTCAAAAGACCCCACCGAACCAGAATCCTGGTTCCCTACCACCGGGGCCAGTTGAGTGTCCTCCACTGGGAGTCGCGCTCATTCCTCATATTGCTGTGTAAATTGCCGCATCAGATCCGGAAGTCCATACTATTTGCCCTCAAACACCACCCAGTTGCGGGACTTCCAAATCCACCATAGGACCGCAACAATGGCTGTTGAACTAGAGCCAACAGCTTCTTAAGGAACAGAGGAAATGTATGCCGTGGCAAGCCCTCCTCAAGGTGTTCCAATCCTGCAGCCCCCCATAGGGCACGCACCACCGGACAATCCAAAAATAAATGCTCCATGGTTTCAGGACCTTCCCAACAGACCGGACACCGAGAGAGGACCGGGATATGGCGACTAATGAGTGCTTCAGTGGTAGGCAAGATCCGACTGAAAATCTGCCAAACAAACACCTTTAACTTAGGCGAAATGTTGGCATCTCATAGCCGTATCCAACTTGCCCTATCCATCCTATCCACCGTCGCCTTCCAACGGTCCCTCCTTTTCTCCAAAGAGACAGCCAGATGGTATGCCGATTTAACCGAGAACTCCCCAACCGCTGTATCATGCCAAATGAGCCTATCCTCCACATTTTCCCGCGGGAGAGGGATGACTTTTATAATACGGCACATTGCAGGATCAAACCATTGATTAAGTTTTTGATCACACCAACGCCCCTCCCCTTGACAAATTAGGTCCTCCACCAGAGGGTCACCACCGTCCCGTAGAACCTGAGGATTATAGCGAAGGGGCTCAAACTGGAACTCAGGGACCCAGGTAGAGTGAAGCATGGATGTCGAGCGCCCATTCCCAATCTGCCATCGTAAACCCATATCTAATAGCTACCGACCAAACAGAATACTCTGCCAGCCCCACGATGGTCTAGACCGAGCTTTAGCAGTTAGGAAATGTCCATTAGGGAAATATTTACCTTGATAGACTTGGGTAAGCAGGGAGTGAGGTTCGCTAAGGATACGCCAACCAATTCTATTATCAATATTTTTTCATTCTTAAAGTGTTTTTCCCTACGTTTTATTGTAAAAATTAAAATTTACTTGTATTTTTTTTGAACAACATGTAAAAGTGGGTCGACCCGTCCCCCCTGTACCCGCGCGGGTTTTACCCGCCCCGTAGTAGCGTGGGGTGGGACATGGGAATTGAGGTACCCGCCCCGCCCCATTGCCATCACTAAGGATTACTTATAGTATATTTAAATTTCAAAAAAACAAGTAATTAATGTGAGGTATTTAATTTTCAATGTGTATCTAAATTCTAATGTGAGTGTTAAATTTCCGTCTGGTGAACTATGAACAGTTCTGGCTATTACCCAAGTTAGGAATTGCAGTGCGATCTAGCGGTCCAAATTGAACGAAAAGCGATATCAGGGCTGAGCTTAATCAAGCAGCTGCGCCTATTGTGCGTCTTCCTCCTGATGATTGTCTGGTCACTCGTGCTGCTGCATTTTATCGTCGACTGCTATTGCTAAAGGTGAAGTGTCTTGACTCAGTAATTGTGGATGATGAAGACCAAATGGACGATCTTGAAATTGAGAATCTTGCTGATATTCTGGTTGTTCCTATGCCAGAGCTTGATAATCTCGAAGGTGACTTTTCATCTTGTGGGTGCAAACTGTTACTTTTGAATTGTTATTTTTACTTGCATTGGTACTGTTTAATTGAGTTACTTCTGTGGTCTTATTGATGTAGGAGTCGCATTGCTTAATGCTGAGAAATTTGCTGTAGAGGCTGATACTTATCTAATGCATCCTGGTCCCCCTAATGTGGAATTTAGGGCTGTTACTTCATATCATGTGTACTTGATGCGAAGAGTTGATTGGAAACTGAGATTAGGTTGATGGACATCCCGCTAGGTAAATTTTTCGCACTCGTTGAATTTTTTTCTTGGTTTTGGTGCTACTGCAGTTGCATCTGCTGGAAGTAAAAGCTTATGTGAAATCTATCGTGGTATTATTTTTATAATCCTCCATTTTCATTAGACGAGAACCAGCTAATGATACAAATAATTGTTTACCGTCATTTAATTTTCAAACTTGAAATCTTTCTTAAATAATCCTTATTGCATAGGTGGCAACCCACTGCTTGTTGGTCCTCTGAATGCTCCTCAATTTTAATTCTGTATCTAGTTTGGTAGGTTTCTATTCTTATTCTCTTTGTTGTTTTAGGTGGTGGTGCACAATCAATTCCTTCGGTGAATGGCCCGCTGAATGCTTCCTTTAATTCTAATTCTGCTGGAGGTAGAAGGCTTAGGATCTGAACAACTTAATGATATTATTTGATGTAGTAGTCCTTTTTTGGTTGGCTTCCATTCTTATTTCTATTTTTCTTTAGTTGGTGATGCTCGGTTTGTTCCTTCCGTGAATGGTCCTATAAATGCCCATCTTGAAGTTCTTCCAGATGAAGTTCCTGTTGGTGTTGAGATACTTAACCAGAATATTGAAGCCCATTCTACACACTCTGCTGTTTATGGTCCAGGTATTTTTGTTGCGCTGACTGTTATGTTTTGTTTATTTATTTGTTTGATGTTGCGCTGATACTTAAACAAAACATAACAGTTAGCGCAACAAAAATACCTTGACCATAAACAGCAGAGTGTGCAGAATGGGCTTGAATATTCTGGTTAAGTATCTCAACACCAACAGGAACTTCATCTGGAAGAACTTCAAGACGGGCATTTATAGGACCATTCACGGAAGGAACAGACTCAGCATCACCAACTAAAGAAAAATAGAAATAAGAATGGAAGCCAACCAAAAAGGACTACTACATCAAATAATATCATTAAGTTGTTCAGATCCTAAGCCTTCTACCTCCAGCACCTCAAACAGAATTAGAATTAAACGAAGCATTCAGCGGGCCATTCACCGAAGGAATTGATTGTGCACCACCACCTAAAACAACAAAGAGAAATAAGAATAGAAACCTACCAAACCAGATACATAATTAAAATTGAGGAGCATTCAGAGGACCAACAAGCAGTGGGTTGCCACCTGTGCAATAAGGATTATTTAAGAAAGATTTCAAGTTTGAAAATTAAATGACGGTAAACAATTATTTGTATCATTAGCTGGTTCTCGTCTAATGAAAATGGAGGATTATAAAAATAATATCACGATAGATTTCACATAAGCTTTTACTTCCAGCAGATGCAACTGCAGTAGCACCAAAACCAAGACAAAAATTCAACGAGTGCGAAAAATTTACCTAGCGAGATGTCCATCAACCTAATCTCAGTTTCCAATTGATCAACTCTTCGCATCAAGTACACATGATATGAAGTAACAGCCCTAAATTCCACATTAGGGGGACCAGGATGCATTAGATAAGTATCAGCCTCTTCACACTCAGCCTCTACAGCAAATTTCTCAGCATTAAGCAATGCGACTCCTACATCAATAAGACCACAGAAGTAACTCAATTAAACAGTACCAATGCAAGTAAAAATAACAATTCAAAAGTAACAGTTTGCACCCACAAGATGAAAAGTCACCTTCGAGATTATCAAGCTCTGGCATAGGAACAACCAGAATATCAGCAAGATTCTCAATTTCAAGATCGTCCATTTGGTCTTCATCATCCACAATTACTGAGTCAAGATACTTCACCTTTAGCAATAGCAGTCGACGATAAAATGCAGCAGCACGAGTGACCAGACAATCATCAGGAGGAAGACGCACAATAGGCGCAGCTGCTTGATTAAGCTCAGCCCTGATATCGCTTTTCGTTCAATTTGGACCGCTAGATCGCACTGCAATTCCTAACTTGGGTAACGGCCAGAACTGATCATAGTTCACCAGACGGAAATTTAACACTCACGTTAGAATTTAGATACACATTGAAAATTAAATACCTCACATTAATTACTTGTTTTTTTCAAATTTAAATATACTATAAGTAATCCTTAGTGATGGCAATGGGGCGGGGCGGGTACCTCAATTCCCATGTCCCACCCCACGCTACTACGGGACGGGGCGGGTAAAAAAGTTTGAGCCCCTTCGCTATAATCCTCAAGCATAACTAACCTAGCAGAGACTCACAAGCAGAAGTACCAGCTATTGAAGGATTTGTAGTTGGCTCATTCTGGCTCTGAACCCAACAGCTGTGGCTTCCATCATATATAACTCGCAATTCCTCGTACCTTGGAATCGAAGTCGGCCAGCAAGAGAACTCAGCTTGGAACAACTTCCAATAACTTAAGAATGGTCTTCCTTTAGCATAGAGCTCCAGCTCTCCCCCCGCCCCCAAATCACAGGACAAAGCAGCAATTTCACCATCACCAGTACCATCACAATGACGGAGGAAGAAAACTTCCGGCTTCTCTGGATGAAAACAAGGTCGAACATAGGTGCGGAGTTCACGCAACATTGATCCCTTCATCAACCCGTCACGTAGTCTCCTCCAGGATCTACGGTCCTCTTCTAGTCTCCACAAGCTCAACGCGATCTGCGTACGACCAGGTTCAATTCGATCTTCGAATACAATCGCGTGCAGGGCGCCTTGCGAGACACCAATATCCCACCCCCCTTTCCCATAGACTAATGGAGTTTCAATGGCAGTGGGAGGTGAATCAGGACGGAAAGGATTAAAAGCAGCAACGAAAGGCTTTATCGGGTGCACATCACCAGGATCTTGGCTTCGAACACCATAACTCCAAAACAACTCCCCATTGCAGGAAACTATATTTCTGGCCATGAATTGGCGATACCGATGAAGAACAAGAATGTCCTTCGTCCATTCCCCAGCATCCGAACAGAACATGTCTAACTTTGTAGAGTCCTTATCCCGGTATAGACACACCACTCGGAATCGATACTCAGAATGAAAGAAGCCTCGGTCACCTCCTAGATCGAGACTATTCAAAATACGGGGTTCACAAACTAACCTTGCAAAGTAGTACCCACACCCCGTGGGCAATTCGGGCGCCAAAGGGAGGGCGACCCATTGCTTGGTAAACGGATTGCAGAGGAAGTAGGATCTGTACAATTCGGTGACCAGTTTGCCGTAGACGTCGCTGACGGGACCCGCATCCGCAAACCCGCACAGAACCAAGTCCCTGTAAGCATCCATTACTGCGAAGGAGTCTTGGGCAAATGTAGTATCCATGGGGATGAAGCTCGTGATGATCGATTGCGGGTCGTCTGAGTGTAGAAGGAGAGGAGGTTGCCAGTTCCTGCTATGGTGGTGGGAAACGAAACGGCGATTGAAGCGGACTGGATCGGAGATAAGGGACTTCCATCGCTTGCAGACGGCTTTGCAGCGACGGGCGGATTTGGGGTTCGGGAGGCGAATCAGGATTTCTGCGAGGAGATCGTCTCCCAATTGAACGATTGTCGTCGGAGGAGGAGGAGGAGAGTTTACTTCTGTTGATTGTATCCGCCGTCGTTTACTGGAGCTGCACGGCAAAAACCACGAGCTTAGCTGCCGATCAGAAGCCGAGGTGCTGTTGTTCGCCGCCATGGATAATCTGGAACAGAAGCGCAGCAGACGAATCGCGCAGCAGACGACGGGATACTAGAGAAGAGGTCAACATCCCGTAAAATGTTTGTTTGCCAATCCAAATCCCTAATGTAAAAGGCTATCATTTTTAACAAGAAACAAACTTTCAGGGTTACACAGAGGCACAGACCACACACCAATATATGATATTGATGGGCTGGGCTGTAACCTTTCCGTTTTTCGAGAAAATTGGATCATCCGTAAAGAGCCCAGCCCAAGCTTTTAAAACCTAACGCTGACTGGCCCACGACCGTCGCCCGTTTGTTGGGTAGATAGGATTTGTACCCTATTAGTGCTATCCTGGAAAGTGGCAATGAGGGTTGTCACGCCGGCCGGCGTGCCACCGGTTGTACCTGGATCAACCTGTATCGGTCATAAAATCGGCGTGACACCACCGGTATGACCGACATGATCGATATACGAATCTTTAAGTAAAATAATCTTATTTTAGTGATTTTAATTGTTAAAAATTATTTTATTATTTATTTTATGAGTATAAATGTTAAATATTGATGTTAATTGTTGGATTCAAGTATAAATGTTTAGGTATTGACGTTAAATGTCATGTTTAAAATGAGTATTTATAATTTTATTTGTAATATTAACCGGCATGAACCGGCACAAACCGGTATGTGCCACCGGTCGAACCATTCCACTTGCTAAACCCGCACACTGGCATAAACCGGTTTCACAACTGGCAATCACTAATCACTAATGTAATTGATTTCTTACATTTTTGTGATCATTTTGTTAATGACAGATTTCCTCGTGTACTTGTCATACCATTTCAGATTTCATAGTGGCATCTGGAAAAGTTGATGAGGTGCCAGGTGCTACTCCTGTTCTCAAGTCTGAGATTATGGCTGAGGTGGATGCAATTTTAGAGCCACTCCTCCAACTTCCACATGGTCCTCCTCTCATCCAGCGTGCATTGTTTTTCTATCACCGACAGCTGCTACAAAAGCTTTCTATTTGTTGATTCTGTAACTATGGCCAATGATGTTCAACTGGCTGCCCTTTTTTCCTGGAGTTGATCCGAAAGGTGTGTTATTTTGTTTGGGTGTTTGCTAAATGGAACTCCTGAATAAGTCTGGTCTCTTTTGTGCTATAGTTTTTTTTTTTTTTGTTTGTTTGATTATTTAGTGGTTCTTGTTAATGTAGGTGCTATTAATTCCGAGTGCAACGAGGTAGTTCAGTTTCTAACACATTCTCATCGCGAGGACGTGACCTATAGAGCAATGACTGTGTATCGCGTATTCTTGATGCAAGGATTGGGAGGATTTAAAACTGAAGTCAGGGCAAGTGATAAGCAACTAATAAGTGGAAGTGTTGCACAGACCACTCGAGGTAAATAGCTTACCCCTGTTTTGTTCATGCAATTGAATGCACTTATAACTCTTGTTTAGTAGAGTCCTAAATGTAGGTTTTTTTAGGCACACTTACTCGGCCAATTACACTCCACCACAATGTTGTTCTTAATGATGCTGCCGATGCTCAATGTGAATGATGCATGATGTTTAGTGTTGCATTATGTTTTGATAAAAAGCTTCATGTATTGGTCTAATTTCATGCCTTTGTGTAATTGGTCCAGGTGCTGCTACAGAGTTGATTGTGCCACAGAATGGTCTTCTGGATGCAGCTGCTGCTGGAGTTGGGGATCCAACTGTGGCGCAGAATGTTCCTCTGGATGCTGCTGTTGCTGGAGGTTAAAATCCTGTTGGGTTACATACTTAGAGTAGTAGCAGCCGCAACCGATGAGGCGGGCTGTAGGCGATGAGATTAATTGGGTGAGCAATGGAATAGGTGGTTGCAAGCTATGATGTATGATGTCCTAAATATAGAATGTGAGAGTACTACCGCATGCAATCCTAGATTAGCTGCAATGCATGTTACTCGGGATGCTGATCAACAACTTGTACACAACTTGCTTCCTTTTTTGCTTTAGTAGTTCTCATGCATGAACTACTATAGCTTTTCTTTTCAGACGAATATACCAGTGTTACATAGCCAGTCGGACTGTTAAAATCGATACCCGCACACAATTTCGAATTGAATCATGCAAGAAAACGCTTATGTTGAACCACTCATGTCGTGACCTAATTATGTCGTGTCGTACTAGCCTTCAAGCGACGCGACCCGATGGATATAAGGTTTTTGCGTCTGATCTGCTCATGTCATGCTTGATAACAATTTCGATATTTGAATTTCTAGTTTTGTATAATTTGAATTACAATGAACGTTATGCGGAGGGTTGAAAAAGTTTTATATATATATATATATATATATATATATATTAAGGTTTTAAGACAATGTCGTGTAATTAAAATTCTCCCCATATTTCAAGGGCTTGGCAGTACGACTATTTGTTTGATTTACGTAAATCTAGGCCATCTTCTAATCAATAAGTGCTATTTCTAAGGTGATGCAGGTGTAACTTGTAACTGACTGCTCGAATTACCATTATAAATTTCAAGTCTTCAAAGCTCAATCACTTCACAAAGCATCAGGATCGAACTTGACCAAAACTATCTCAACAACACCAAAAAACCACAAAGCGTTTGAATCAACAATGGCGACGATATCAGCACAACTAGTTGTGGCCCTTCTAGTAGTAGCACTCGTCTTCGCCGTAGACGCAGCAGAGCCGCCGTCGTCCGGGCCCGTCTCATCCTACATATGGCGGTTTCCGACCAAGCCCGATCACTCGTGGCATCCGATCAATGGGTCGATGTTGAGAGACCAGAAGGTCCAGGACATTGCAAGTTTCGCGGTGGCGACGTACAACGGCGATAACTGGTTATCGGGAGCGCCGCTGAAGCTGTTGAGCGTGGACGAAGGCGAGGTTCTGACTGTCGGAGGCACCGTGTACCATCTTTACCTAACGGTCTCCAACGGAGTGCACGTGGCAAAAAGGTACCACACATTTGTGCTTATGTACCCGGGGACGAGGTGGGAGTCACTGTTTTTTGAACTCTTGAGCGAGTGATATTGTGATTAGGTTAGCTAGCTAGTAGTGGTTATTTTCCCCATGGTTCCAAATAATTCAGTGTAGCTTTTTGTCTAGGCTCCTTGACATGGTTTAAATGTAAAGGAGCAGAATAAATAAAGGTGTCTATTCGGCATGGTTGATAAGATTTTTTATATGGATTGAATAGTGGTTGCTAAAGATTAAAAATTGCCAAAGGTCAGATAGCCCAATTGGTAGGGATGAGGTTTGGATTGTGATGACGGTCGATGGGGTCACGATTTTGAATCATCGTTCCACCTTCTGGGGGTTTACGGAGGTAGACAGGATCGACTACGACCGCACAAGCGGAATGTCCGTCCTGTAAGTTGGCCTGACTCCGATATCACTTAAGTGATGACCGGGGAGGGTGATCCATGTTCCCTAAAAAAAAAAGGCTAAATTACATGTATGATCACTGAATTACATAAATCTTTTAAGTTTGTCACTCGGATTAATCAATTAAGTTAACAACAACAAAAAACAATATAAATATTTAATTAATGTTCAAATATGAGTTTGATTTTCTATGCCCTTTCTTTTGTTCTAGTTTCCTTTGACCTTTTTCATCGAACTTGAAATGCTTTGTTCTTCAGGTTCTAATATATGTTGTTAAATGTTATTTTCAAAAGGAGGACAAAGAATTGATAATTTATATATGTTATGTTAAAATTTAAATGGAATTTTCCCGTTTATTATTATTGTCCTTGTGGCAACATTATACTTATTAGTACGTATTGCCCTTATTTTTTTTGTTCATATCATAAACATTACAAACAAATGGGAAAAGGTTTGGCATTTTCATGAGTCGTGACCGATTAATTAGCTTTCCCACAATCTCTCATTCTATTGATTGGCAAAATGTTTTTTTTTGACAAAATGCGTAAATGTACACCCTTCGTCTCAAATAACTCAAACGATTAGTGAATTTATGTTTTGGTTCTCGAGCTCTCATTCCAACTGCAACAATGGCGACTAAGGAGCCGTCGATATGCCTTGCGATACATATTCTTCTATAAAGGATGGAACTCACTCATATCCGCTCATAAGTAGAGTAGACTAACCGCTCATAAGTAGAGTAGTTGGTCTACGTTTAGAGAAGTCGAAAAGTGGTGTTTCAAGAAATTATGTTGGTAATGTCTAATGGGTATTTGGTCCTTGTCACGATAATTGCAAGTGGCAAAAGAAACAAGGGTGTAAGTGGTGTAATGACTAATGAGAACTGCTAGCAAGAATATATCTATTGGTAAATCAAACTACAAAGCAATAGCTACATCAAAGCTACATATTGATGTGGATGATCCATACAAGTTAGCAGGAGTAGCCGTAGGACTAGCTTGCGAGGCTTTCTCATAATAACGGCGACGTGCTAAGTTTTATCTCAAATGGTTTCTCTCTACTTTAGGCAGTATTTCTTGCATCTAATATATTTGTGGATGAGAAAAATATTAGACTACATTTAGTTTATGAGGTATCTGGGGGGACTCATGAAGGAAATGTATAATTCATATTCTATGTGTTACTTTCATTGCATCTAAAATTAGTATGGATTTTACATATTGAATTTTTGCTATGAACTCGGATTTAAGAGGTGGATTGATTGTTTGGTTGAGACCAACAAATGTTGATAGATCAAAGAGTAATTCTAGGTTGGAACATCAGTAGCTCTTTTGCATTAAGAAACAACTCTAGCTCTTCTCTCGTGAAGGAATAAGGATGTATTCCAGAAAGGGAATATCTGACTTTTCAACATGTAGATCAATTGCATGAGATATTCTCCTCCTACTTGAAATATGTACATCAGTGTTCTTTTTTCAGTCTACAAAGCACCTCATGAAGCCCAAATAGATGAGTCGAAATTCGGCTTTGAAACATCAACTAAAATATATCGTGTCGTCGACCTTTGAAGCCCTATGAAGGAAGGAAAATCCACTACTAAGTAACGGGTTGCAGACGAAGAATATTTAGTCCAATTTGTTGTCGTCTTTCCTATTCTTGAAGCCGACTAAGAGCAAGTCCCTGATGCAATCTAAAACGAAGCAGTGAGATCAGATTCGGTCATTAGGCATGGGTAAAATGCTACATGCCAATTTATGAGAGTATAGGGACTCATAAGTTCTGCTAAGTGTTAGGGGCTTATGATGAAGAATTCATTGGTCTTGGTCAACTGATGTAAATCTCCATTGGTTGATACTTATCAATGACAAGTATCACAATATGGAAGACTTCCCTGCTATGACAATCCGGTACCATAGGTGTCAACCAAGATAAGTTGTTTCATTTGGAAAGCGTCATTGGAGGCAATAGATTCCATCCATAGTTTTCAACACAGAGGAATGTCATGCCAAATCATAGGGCTTGTGAGTTTGCACATAAATTATGGAGCAGACTCAATATTATTATCCCTCTGCTACGTTGTATTTGAGAGATGATGAAGGCGTGTAAAGCTCTTTCCCCAAATAGCGCTTTCACTCCTTTTGTGAGTGTTTTCCGGCGAGGAAAATCTGGTGTTTGAACACAATGAATGCACCTTTGACTTCTTCAAGAACGATAATTACACGGTTCACTCCTCTTCAAATAATGTTCGAACGAGGGTGTTTGATGTTATTGATGGTTTTTTGGGAACAAGCTACGTTAATTACTCCTACTCCTATAGAGGTTCAGTGAGAGCTCCGAAAACTAAGGCTATGGCTAATTTGCAGAGAAAAGGATAAAGTCTGACATTGTGCATCAAATGGTTGGTTGTGGAACCCTTTTCCCGTCTTCGTTTCTCCAATTTATAGCCACTGGGTGTAACTGTCTTGGTAACCGCCGTAGTAACTACTAGCTAGCCTCTTGCACCAAACCGCCTCGAGGTCGCTTGTCCCTCCTTGGTGACTAGTTGGTAATCGTTGCCTTGGGGTCCTTGTCCCATCTTGGGGCTAGTGGGTACTTGATGGCCTCGATGTCGGGTCAGGTTGGTGTTGAGCCTTGTCACCCAGTCATGACTGGATGGGGTTGAGGCTCTTGCCTTAGCCTCTATGAACCATGATGAGGTCTTGATCTCACCCTCAACTGCTTGATGACTCCCCGCTCCTGAGATCGCTACCACCTCATGACACCAAGTCCTCCTCATTAACTTGTTGGTTGTTGCCAAGCCATCTCATCGCCTTGATACCTTCTGGCATGCCACCAAGCCCATGTAATCAACTTGACACCCATTGCTACCAAGCCAGCCCTGGTGGCTTGGTCTTCATACTTAGTTTTTGTAGCCTCGTCAAGCTGGTAAGTTGCACCCTGTCGGTTGGGTACCCCGTTAAGTTGCTACCAAGCCCGTATTGGGACTTTGTCTCCATATGGCCCCATAAGGGCCATCCACGGCTGTTTGGTACCTAGTCGGGTGGCCACCTCAGCTAGCCACCATGCCTTAGTCAAATTTCTTGTCTTGTTGGCTTGATACCCTGATGTCTGGCTATAGGGATGGCAATTAAACCCATGGTCGCGGGTATCCGACCGCCCCCGACCCAGTCAACGCGGGGAATCCCCGCTTTGACCGGGTATGGGACGGGTATGGGTAAAACCCGCAAAAAGTTTGATGGGTATGGGGAGGGTATGGTTTTAGCCTCCCCCGCCCCATACCCAACCTCATACCCGCCCCACCAAGATAATTTCTTCATATATAAAAAAAAAATATGTGCATCAAATTATAATCTATCAATGATGATGAGGATAACTTGAGAAAATAAATAGTAGAAATGCAATTGAGTGACCACCTTAATCAAAATCTAATTCATTTCTCTCAATTCTCATTTCACTCTTTCACTTTCCCCCTTGTCAACAAGATTATGTTAGTTAATTATTATTTAGTAGATGAATCAGAGTTAGAACATAATAATTTGAAAAATATTGTACTCTATATTATGTATTAATGAATATTTTAGGATCATAATCTTTGAACCATATTAAAAAAATGACTGTGTTTTGTTGACTTCATGATATAATATGTTCGTTTAGAGTTATAATTAGAACTTTTCTTGTAAGTTTTAGGTATAATAATGTTGGATGTACGGGCATGGGTATTACCCATGGGTACCCGAAACCCACGGGTATGGGGATGGGTTTGCAAAACATTCCCCCACATGGGTATGGGGCGGGTATGGGTTTGGGTATTTGAAGATGGGTATGGGGATGGTTTAAGCAAACCCGCCCCATTGCCATCCCTATCTGGCTATCAAGTCCGTCTTGTCGGCTTGATATCCAGACTTAGTTTTTGTATGACTCTCTTAGTTGGTACCTAGCTTGGCCCCCTGTTGCCTGGCCACCAAGTCAGTCTTGGCGGCTTGATACCCCCTTGGGGTCATGGTACCATGTAGGGGGTCTTGGTACCGAGGTTGCCTTGCCGACATGGTACCCCCTCTTAGCTCCGTACTTAGCCAAATTCATGTTTTTTCATGTCTTGGTACCAAGCCCTCACTTGCCGGCTTGGTACCCCCTTTGGCTTTATACTTAGCCAAATTTCATGTAGTAGTACCAAGGTTGTTTTACCTGCCTGGTACCCTATTGCCTGGCTACCAAGCCTGTCTTGTCGGCTTGATACTCTCTTGGCTCTATACTTAGCGAATTTTTCCTTCTTTTTGGTATCAAGCCTGCCTTGTCAGCTTGATACCCAGTTGGGTTCATACTTAGCCAAATTCATGTTTTTTCATGTCTTGGTACCAAGCCCTACCTTGCACCCGGCTTGGTACCCGGTCGTTTGGCACCCCGTTGTGCCAGCTTATTTCCAGACTTAGTTTTCGGGAGCCAAATTTCATACCAAGAGGTGGAGGCAGCGTCCGTCTATGGGGGCCAAGGTGACGGGTCGGCCATCGTATAGGGCAGAAGGGGTTTGGCCACTTAGGCCCAAAAACCCAACCTAACAATGCCCAGCTAGCTCTTTTAATTATTAATGTTGATCTGGCCTTATAAATCCATTAAGTCTCTTGCAGTTAATCGATGTGGTACAAACTGATTTTTTATGGGTAAACAGTGAGGATATTACCCCAAATATGCTCATATCATGCTTGATATCAAGATTCAAATTTCAGGTTCGTATAATTTGAATGAACTCTGCGAATTTGGAGGGTTGAAAAAGTTATTTCTAGTACATATATATTATGCTTTTAGCTTTAAGACAAGGTCGTGTAATTAATTCTTCCCATTTTTCAAGGGCTTGGTAATACGACTATTTATTTTATTGACGTAAATCTAGGCCATCTTCTAAACAATAAGTGTTATATATAAGGTGATGCAGTAACTAACTATTTGGATTGGAACTATAAAATCCTGCATCCAAACTCAATCAATTCACACACAAATTTGGGTAAAACTATCTCAACAACAAAACCAAAAATCACAAAGAGTGTGAATCAACAATGGCGACGATATCAACACAACTAGCTGTGGCCTTTCTAGTAGTAGCACTCGTCTTCGCTGTAGACGCAGCAGAGCCGCCGTCGTCTGGGCCCGTCTCATCCTACATATGGCAGTTTCCGACCAAGCCCGATCACTCGTGGCATCCGATCAATGGGTCGATGTTGAGAGACCAGAACGTCCAGGACATTGCAAGTTTCGCGGTGGCGACGTACAACGGCGATAGCTGGTTCTCGGGAGCGCCGCTGAAGCTGTTGAGCGTGGACGAAGGTGAGGTTCTGGCCGTCGGAGGCATCGTGTACCATCTTTACCTAACAGTCTCCAACGGAGTGCACGTGGCAAAAAGGTACCACACATTTGTGTTTATGTACCCGGGGACGAGATGGGAGTCACTGTTGTTTGAACTCTTGAGCGAGTGATGTTGAGAATTAGGTTAGCTAGCTAGTGGTTATTTTACCCCATGGTTTCAAATAAATTCAGTGTAGATTTTTGTCGAGGCTCCTTGACATGGTTTTAATGTAAAGGAGCAGAATAAATAAAGGTATCGTTCGTTTGTTTGGAAAGTGTTTTATGACGAAAATTATTTTTAGTGACTATTCGGCGTGGTTGATAAGATTTTTTATATTGACCGAACAGTGGTTGCTAAAGATTAAAAATCACCAAAGGTCAGATAGCCCAGTTGGTAGGGATGAGGTTTGGATTGTGATGACGGTCGACAGGGTCACGATTTTGAATCACCGTTTCACCTTCTGGGGGTTTACGGAGGTAGACAGGATCGGCTACGACCGCACAAACGGAATGTATGTCCTGTAAGTTGGCCCGACTCCGACATCGCTTAAGTGGTGACTGTGGAGGGTGATCCATGTTCCCTTAAAAAAAGGCTAAATTACACGTATGATCACTGAATTACATAAATCTTTCAAGTTTGTCACTCTAATTAATCAATTAAGTTAACAACAATGAAAAACAATATAAATATTAATTAATGTGCAAATATGAGTTAGATTTTCTACGCCCTTTCTTTTGTTCTAGTTTCCTTTGATCTTTTTCATCAAACGTGAAATCCTTTGTTCCTCAGGTTCTAATATATGTTGCTAAATGTTACTTTCAAAAGGAGAACAAAGAATTGATAACTTATATATGTTATATTAAAATTTAAATGGAATTTTCCCGTTTATTATTATTGTCCTTGTGGCAACATTATACTTATTAGTACATATTGCCCTTGTTTTTTTGTTCATATCATAAACATTACAAACAAATGGGAAAAGGTTTGGCATTTTCATGAGGCGTCGTGACCATTTAATTAGCTTTCCCACAATCTCTCATTCTATTGATTGGCAAAGGTTTTTTTTTTTTGAAAAAATGCATAAATGTACACCCTTCACCTCAAATAACTCAAACAATTAGTGAATTTATGTTTTTGTTCTCGAGCTCTCATGCCAATTGCAATAATGGCGACTAAGGAGCTGACGATATGCCTTGCGATACATATTCTTCTATAAAGGATGGAACTCACTCATATCCGCTCATAAGTAGAGTAGACTAACCGCTCATAAGTAGAGTAGTTGGTCTACGTTTAGAGAAGTCGAAAAGTGGTGTTTCATGAAATTATGTTGGTAATGTCTAATGGGTATTTGGTCCTTGTCACGATAATTGCAAGTGGCAAAAGAAACAAGGGTGTAAGTGGTGTAATGACTTATGAGAACTGCTAGCAAGAATACACTAGATATCTTTTGGTAAATCAAACTACAAAGCAATAGCTACATATTGATGTGGATGATCCATAAAAGTTAGCAGGAGTAGTTGTAGGACTAGCTTGCGAGGCTTTCTTATAACGGCGACGTGCTAAGTTTTATCTCAAATGGTTTCTCTCTACTTTAGGCAGTATTTCTTGCATCTAATATATATGTGGATGAAAAAAATATTAAACTACATTTAGTTTATGAGGTATCTGGGGGACTCATGAAAGGAAATGTATAATTCATATTCTATGTGTTACTTTCATTGCATCTAAAATTAGTATGGATTTTACATGGTCAATTTTACCTCAAGGAAAAGCTATTGAGGAGTGCAGTAGGTCAGCAGGTGGTTACAGGCTATGGATGTAGGATGTCTCAAATATAGAATCTGAGGGTACTACCGCATGTAATCCCAGATTAGCTGCAATGTATGATACTAAGGATGTTGATCAACAACTTGTACACCACTTGATCCCTTTTGCTTTAGTAGGTCTCGTTCAGTGAACTACTAGCGTTTCCTTTTAGATGAATATACCAGTGCTATCACATAAAGACGAACCTGTTGGACCGATAAAACTGGAATTCAACCGCCAGTTCGATTCAAATCAGGCAAGAAAACATATATGTTGAACCATTTGTGTCTTCTCCTAACTATAACGTGTGGTGCTAAACGGGGAGCGACCTGACCTGATGCCCAAGTACATGTGCATATCAGGGTTTTTCACATGATCTCCTCATCTCATGCACCTAATATGCTCATATCATGCTTGATATCAAGATTCAAATTTCAGGGTTCGTATAATTTGAATGAACTCTGTGGATTTGGAGGTTGAAAAAGTTATTTCTAGTACATATATATTATTCTTTTAGCTTTAAGACAAGGTCGTGTAATTAATTCTTCCCATTTTTCAAGGGCTTGGTAATACGACTATTTATTTTATTTACGTAAATCTAGGTCATCTTCTTATCAATAAGTGCTATATATAAGGTGATGCAGTAACTAACTATTTGGATTGGAACTATAAAATCCTGCATCCAAACTCAATCAATTCACACACAAATTTGGGTAAAACTATCTCAACAACAAAACCAAAAATCACAAAGAGTGCGAATCAACAATGGCGACGATATCAACGCAACCAGCCGTGGCCCTTCTAGTAGTAGCACTCGTCTTCACTGTAGACGCAGCAGAGCCGCCGTCGTCCGGGCCCGTCTCGTCCTACATATGGCGGTTTCCGACCAAGCCCGATCACTCGTGGCATCCGATCAATGGGTCGATGTTGAGAGACCAGAAGGTCCAGGACATTGCAAGTTTCGCGGTGGCGACGTACAACGGCAATAACTGGTTCTCGGGAGCGCCGCTGAAGCTGTTGAGCGTGGACGAAGGTGAGGTTCTGACTGTCGGAGGCACGGTCTACCATCTTTACCTTACTGTCTCCAACGGAGTGCACGTGGCGAAAAGGTACCACACGTTTGTGTTTATGTACCCGGGGACGAGGTGGGAGTCACTATTGTTTGAGCCCTTGGGCGATTGATGTTGAGAATTAGGTTAGCTAGCTAGTGGTTATTTTTTTCCCTATGGTATCAAATAAATTTAGTGTAGATTTTTGTCGAGGCTCCTTGACATGGTTTAAATGTAAAGGAGCAAAAATAAATAAAGGTATCGTTTCGTTTGTTTGGAAAGTGTTTATGAAAGAAAATTATTTTCAGTGACTATTAGTATTCGGGGTGGTTGATACTTGATAAGATTTTTTATAGTGATCGAAAAGTGGTTGCTAAAGGTCAAAAAATCAAACTAATTGTGATACTTTTGGGCCGATGTTTTTGTTGCTGGAGTTACCCATCCAACTCGGCTGGGCTCAAAATCTAAGCCCAATTTAACCTCGTGCCCATTCAGTTTCGCAACAATCTGAGTACAATCCAACTTCCTTTCTTACTTCCCAGCGGGTAGGCGCGGGATAGGCGCAGCGTCGTGGAAAACGGCACCGTTACTGCCTCATTTTGTCGTTGTCGTAAAATTTCCCAACTGAAAATGACGGCCGGCCGACGGGGATTGGCCTGAAACGGTTTCGCCGTCCGTCCCCATAACCACCGTGTGTCTAGAATACGGATAAAACGTGAGATTCTGCAATCCTCGTAAAAAAATCCCTCTTATCGGATATCTCCGTCTTCCCCACTCAGCACACCGGACGCTCACTGAGAAACGAAGAACCCTAGAAATCACCCCCTTCCCAATCCGATTACCCAGCTCCTTGCGTGTCATTGATTGCTGAACGCTTCTGCGATATTCTATGGCGTCCACTTCCGCGACCAGCTCGCCGAGCTGTCCCCAGCTTCGATTAGCCTTCAACTCTGGGAAATGTCGAGGAGCATCGAGTCCTTCGCTTCTGGTGCGAGCTCGTCCTAGGAAGCTCAATCGTAACGTTCGCCTGCTCTGTGTGGCTCAGAGTGGAACGGGACGGTCTCGCAACTGGAGCTCCTGGGCTGTTTCCTCCTCCTCTTCCACCAAGGATAACTTCGCTGGATGGTCTGATTCCGCCAATGGAGAAGATCAGTCCAAGTCTGAGGGGAAGAATTGGTTTGGAGGTACGAGCAGGAGACCTGTTTGGTGTCTGAGAAAATTTATGCTCGTGTGCGTTTTTACTAGTTAATCGATCGTTCTTCCATATTGTGGACTAGAATAACAAGTTGAGAATAGCTTGCTTTCAGGGAATGTGACCGCCGGAGCAGCTGGGCTCGTCTTGGTCGCTGGCGTTACATTGGCCGGCTTAGCCCTTAACAAACGGAGCACATCAAGTAAGTTGTTGACTTGCTGCTTGTGAAATTCGGAAATGGTTTGCTCGAGTATAAAATTTGGATAGTTTATTTTTGATAATTTCCTCCATTTTTGAGGTCTCAGTGGTAAGATTTGATGTCAACTGTTAGTGTATGATTAATTTTATGTTGCAATTAACAGGACCCGAACAACAGATGGAGCCATTAACGCCTCAGCAGGAAGCATTTTTGTCATCTGAGAGGGACGATGATGGAGCTTTGGATGATAAAACTACAGAAGATCATGGGAAGACGGATGTGAGTGGCCTTGAGACTAAGGAAGATATAGCTTCATCGCCTGAACTTGACGAAATGCCAAGTGAAAATAAGCTTGGTAATGATTATCAGCTTCCTCCAGGGGGAAATGGTGAAGTGTCTATTGGCTCGGCTGTTGCAGCTATTCATGTTTCTGCGAATCAAGAGTTAGAAACTGCATTGTCTATTGATGAGGATTCGGTTGAGCGCGAGATGCATTCCTACTCTTCCCAGAATGAGGTGAATACTGAGATTGAAAGCGGAAGAAGCATCTCAAGCGCTATGCAGTCTGTTGCTGTGGTTGAAGAAACCTTGGTAGTAGATAAGCCTGGCGCTGAACCTGATTTACTGAACAGTAACATTGATGAAGTTATGGATTTGTCTCCCTTGAAGTTTGAAGAAAATTCCATTTCCTTGACTTCCTCTCGATCTGTGGTTGATGAAGTTGTGGAGCCTAATGCTGCACTTGTTTCTGACAGTTCACCAAGTGAGAACCTTGACCAGAGTGAAACTGTACCTTCGGAGAATTCTACTTCAACTGTAGATGTGAATTACTTGCAAGAAAACTTGTCTCCTGAAACGTCTTTGCCTTCATCATCTCCTTCCACAAATGAGCTAGAGAGAATTTTAACTGAGCCAGATGAAAGTAGATTGTTTAGTGAATCACAAGTTCCCTTGAGTTCTTTCTCCTCTGTGGGCATACCAGCTCCATCTGCAGTTTCTGAGGCTCTCCGGGTGCCACCTGGCAAGCTTCTGGTTCCTGCTGCTATTGATCAAGGTCAGGGTCAAGCACTTGCAGCCCTGCAAGTTCTGAAGGTACCACTTTGTTGTAGGTTTTTGTGTCTATATCATGAAGCTTGACTATACAGACTATGCAAGCAAGACAGACTGTTTATTGAAGCTTTTTGTTCCAGGTTATTGAGGCTGATGCTCAACCTGGTGATTTATGCTCACGCCGTGAATATGCTCGCTGGTTGATTTCTGCAAGTGGTCTTTCAAGGTGAATTGTTTTTCTTGTTAATGGAATATGGCTCCTATCGAAACTTTAGAATATCAGGATTGACTTTTTTTTACTCGTTGTTGAAGAAACCCTGTATCAAAAGTATATCCCGCCATGTACATAGAGAAAGTTACTGAACTGGCATTTGATGATGTTACTCCTGATGATCCCGACTTTGCATCCATTCAAGGTGAGTGAACTGTAATCCCGGATTTTTTTCCCTGTAAATATGATTGATGAAGCTCTTTCGCCTTGTGGTCCCTAAATAAGTTAAGTATTTCAGGTTTGGCTGAAGCAGGACTTATCTCAAGCAAGCTGTCAAGCCGTGATTTGAAGTCTGCCTCAGTGGAAGAGGAAGAAGAGCCATCTTATTTCTCTCCTGAAAGGTGATTGTCTGAGCCTTTTGTGGGAACTTATCATGAGTATTTAATTTTTCAGTAAAGCAGTTTTCCTCTACTAGTGTATGCTCATTAGCGCTTATAATGCAGCCCTTTATCACGTCAGGATCTTGTAAGTTGGAAGGTGGCCTTGGAGAAGAGACAACTACCAGAAGCTGATAAAAAGGTTGTCTGACGTTAAAATTTCGCCTCTTTTGACTTCTGATGCACTTCAGGGAACGAGTCTCGTAAATCTTTTTGTCTGATGCATTGTCTTTTTTTGGAGTGAGTCTGATACATTGTCATGTGCAGATCTTGTATCAAGTCTCTGGTTTCAGAGACATAGATAGAATTCATCCAGATGCATGGCCGGCACTAGTAGCCGACTTATCAGCCGGAGACCAAGGAATAATCTCTCTTGCTTTTGGTCAGTCTTCATCTTCCATCTCCCTTCTTGTACATCTCTCTCTTGTTCGTCCTGGATGAATCATCATCACCTTCCATCTCTCTCTCTCTCTCCCCCTTGTTATTCCTGAATAAATCATCACGACCTTCCCCTCTCTCTTGTTCTTCAAAGGTTGCACAAGGCTCTTTCAACCAGATAAACCTGTTACAAAGGCTCAAGCTGCCATAGCTCTCGCACTCGGTGAAGCTTCCGACATAGTTAGCGAGGAGCTCGCTCGCATTGAAGCAGAATCCATGGCAGAAAATGCAGTGTCTGTCCATAATGCCATAGTAGCTGAAGTCGAACAGGACATCAATGCTAGCTTTGAGAAGGAGCTTTCCATAGAGAGGGAAAAGATTAATGCTGTGGAGAGAATGGCTGAAGTGGCAAAGAGTGAATTAGCTAAGCTAAAGGCTCAGAGGGAGGAAGACAATATTTCTCTAATAAAGGAACGTGCTGCTATCGAATCGGAAATGGAGGTTCTAACAAGAATCAGGCGTGAGATGGAGGAGCAATTGGAAAACCTTTTGACGGATAAGGTGGAGATATCGTATGAAAAGGAAAGGATCAGCAAGCTTCAGAAACAGGCAGAGGAGGAAAAGCAGGAGGTTTCCCGTCTCCAGTATGAGTTGGAGGTTGAGCGGAAAGCCTTATCCATGGCTAGGTAATGCTTCCAGATTTCTCTGCTTAAAAGTCCATATCGGATGACTAATGACTATCCCCTATGAAAAATATATGCTCGAGAAATACTTGCATTTACGAGAATGCATCGTGTCAATGCACAACTTTATTTCTTTCTGAAAACACACTGATTTGTAATAATCAACTCATTCTCAAAACACACATTCTAACAGTCAAATTGATACCATCCTCTTGTCTAACATTTCAGGGCTTGGGCAGAGGACGAGGCTAAGCGAGCAAGGGACCAAGCAAAAGCCCTCGAAGAAGCCCGTGACCGGTGGGAGAAACAAGGGATCAAAGTAGTCGTCGACAGCGACCTTCAGGAAGAAGAGACCTCTCCTGCTGGAACATGGGTATCCGCCTCTGAGCAATTCTCCGTCGAAGAAACAGTCGCCCGAGCAGAAACATTGACCGACAAGCTGAAGCTCCTGTCCGTTAGAGTGACCGGAAAATCAAAAGAAATCATCAACAACATCGTGCAGAAGATCCTGGCCTTCATTTCAGCTCTCAGAGAGTGGGCTTCGAAGACTGGAGCTCGAGCCGAACAAGCTAAAGAAGATGCTGTCTCGAAGGTAACAGAGTTCAGCACTACAGTGAAGGAAAAGGCAGCTGGCTCCCTCGAGGAGATGCAGCAAGGCACTGCAGAGTTTGGATCGACGGTGAAGGAAGGGGCGAAACGAGTAGCCGGCGACTGCAAGGAAGGAGTAGAGAAGCTGACACAGAGGTTCGTGAAGTCATCGTGAAACATACATAACTCCACAGGTATCGCCATGTTTCTCCACCATTTACCCCATATTTTGACTAGCTAGAGAATAAAGCTTTCTCCTCGGCTGCTGAGGAATCGGCCGGAACTGTATAATTGTCTGTACCATCATTGATAATGATCATCATCTCACCCAGGGTGGTGGTTTGTTAACATGGCAACCAAAACAGAGAGTGCAGAACTGTAGAGCTTCATGTTCAATGCTCATACAATAAACTTCACTTTTTACTTGTCAAATTAATAGTTTTTCTTTTTTTAGGAAAACAAATTAATAGAGTTATGATAATTAGTCAGGCAAATAGGCTGCTAACGTCGTCGCTTTCACTGTCCACGACGTCGCTTCGCATTCACATTTCCTTTTTTTTCCTTTTTCATTCGGACTAGGAAAACGGAGCAAGCTGTTTCTATAAATAAATAGAAGAATTCCAGCAAAAAAAAATTTCAACGGAGCAAGCCGGCTCTCTGTCTGCTTTTCTCCCGAGCTCCGTGTCGACGGCCAGCGATGCCGGCCAAGAACAACTGCAGCCGTGCTGCAAACGGACGCCGGAAACGACGAGTACTCACGTCCGCGGCCTCCATCGGCGACCTCGGCGATGATTTACTACTAGCTGTTCTTATTCGCCTTCCAAACCCTAGAACCGCCTTCCGATGCAAATCCGTCTGCAAGCGATGGAATCCATCATCTCCGCTGCTTACTTCTCTCGCCGTTTCGTTTCTCACCGCCCCTACTATCTCCGCTGGTAAACCGCCTCTCCTACTTCTCTCCGATCGACTCCCGTGAATTGATCTCTAGCTTTCTACCCGTGTCTAGCCACACCAGAGCCCATCCCCTCATTCTGGATTGCTTCAAAGACTTGCTTCTAGTCGGGTTCAAGAAGACCAACGACGACGAATTGAGCAGAAACCTGCTGGTCTGCAATCCGTTTACGAAGCAATGGGTCGTCCTTCCTTTAGCGCCTCCTCCTCGGGAGAAGGAGATAGAGAGTGCAAGATTAGTGTGTGAGCCCTGTAATTCCGTCACATTGGATTTGGGAGACGGAGAAGAGAAAACAATCATCACTCACGAATATCGATTCCGCGTGGTGCGTATGTATGAATCGGAAGACATGATTCTGGAACTGTTCTGCTCGAATTCGGCTGAATGGACGAAAGTGGTTCTTGATCATCGTTACATCCCAAGTCTTTCGTGCTCTGTCCACCGCAACACTGTAGTCTCTGTCGATGGGAAGTTAAACTGGAAGACCCGACAGGCTCGAATTGTTCAGTGGAATCCTTTCAGTATACGGAATGGTAATTAAAGTCCTTCGATTTCAATGAACTATTGTTCATTGTATCATTGCTGCACCTCCATTTGGGGCTCGCAGGGTTCCTTGTACATGATTAATGTGGAGCCCAAAAGAGAGGGCTTGGGTGTTTGGAGACGGGATCGGGAAGATGGATGCTGGAGGAAACATTGTGGAGTCCCTTAAGGGGATAGTTGATGTTTGGTGATGCTACAGATGAAAGCGGTAGCGAAATTGGGTGCTCGGATTTTGCGAGGCTCTACGTAGTAGTCGGTGTGGATTCGCAGAAGCCGGAAGTTGTCTATTTGGAAGGTTTATTTTGCCATTCTCGTTATCGTTACATTATCCTGTCGCGTAATCTGAGAACGAATGAGATGGAATTCTTGGCTTATCGAGAAGAGATGTATCATCGAAAGGGTGTTCAGCCCAAGGATCGATCTCTGGCCTACCGCGATTCCAAACTACGAGAAACTACTGACCGTAAAAGAGTCGGTCAGCTTGTGAATTTCTTGTTTTCTTTTTATCTCGTACCTTCATGTAAAACTTGAAACTAAATGCAATGCAATATTTTTCTGTCTCTAATATTTTGTGTAGTAAATATATATTTTTTATTATTATCTCTGATTCGTTTATATATTGATTGTTAAGTTAAACTGTGTGCATTAAAATAGCATAAGTAGAAGGGAAAGTCTACGCGGTGGGTTTTAAAATTTGGGACGAGCCGTAGGTTACAGGAGCGTGTATGATGTGCTCGGCTGACTCCTGCAATTTGCATTAGCGATCAGCTTCATTGTTGCTGCTAACTTTCACTTCTCATGACGCATCAGCTGAACTCTTTGTCTTTGACAACTTGCACTTCTCATGACAAGGAAAAGCAGGATCCATGCATTACACCACCTTCTGTTCTTGCTAATCACCATAGTAAACAGTAATTAAATTATCTGTTCTGCTTCTAAAATGATCTTATATTTGTTCCTGGGAAGAAAAAAAAAACATATATTTTGCTGAATGTATAACTATAAAATATAACTTTACTTATATAAGAAAAACCTTCAAATAAAATAGAAAAAAACCGAAAAAAATAAAAATAAAATCTCGCTGTAATACTAGTGCTTCCCTATTTTTACGAGGTCGATTGTTTGCTCGGCTGGAACCAATGATCATAGCTTCCGTTGTATGTTCCAAGCAATTTCTCGTAGTCCGGAATCGGAGTAGGCCAAAGAGTAACCTTTGGCTGAAATACGTCGTAAACCGGTATGTGTTCGGTGAGCACCTCTGTCTCATCCATTCTCATATTGCAACAAAGAATCCTAACCCACTCCCCACCGGAATAACTTCTCAAAAACACCATTTCAGAACTTCTCTGAATGAACACCAAGTACTCCGTTAATGGACAGGATCATCCCATCATCGAATTCACCACCATTACGAATCAACTTGTTCAAGTGCACTTCTTAAACCTAGGGGCTAAAGGAAGGGCGACCCACTGCTGCGTAAACGGATTGCACACCAAGTACGTCCTGTCCAATTCATCATCATCACGAGTCTACCTTGTTAGTTTGAGCAAGAGCAAGTCCCTGAAGCAATCCACAACCATGGCATCGAACCGGCTCGGTTTGTCGGGCAGTCAGTACAAGTAGCAACAATGTCAATTTCATAAGCTGATACATTAATGGGAACACTTAAAGTTTTTTTAGTCTACTGAAATATCTTGTTGGTGGAACATTTAATCCAAACTTATTGGAAAAGTATGGACACATGTTTACATCACATTTGATTAACCAACTATAATACTTGGGAGACTACTAGCTAAAGCTGTTTAGTGAAATATATAGCAAACAAATTCCCAGCTTCCACTCGCAGCTGGAACTGATACGTCTTTTTATATAGAACTTATATTTATAATATAAATCTTCCATAAGATAAACAAAAATTCACTTGAATGTATGTACAAAACTTCGCTGTAACGATTCCTCATTTTCTTACGATGTTGATTGTTCGCTCGGTTGAATCCAACAACTGAAGCTTCCATTATAGGCACCTCGCAATTCCTCGTAATTTGGAATCGGAGTAGGCCAGACAGTAACCCTAGGCTGGAACACATGGTAGTCCAGCGCACAATCTCTTTGATAAGCGAATAACCCCAGCTCTTTCTTCTTCAAGTTGCAGGAAATGATAGCCGTCTTCCCACGAACAGAACTCAGCAGAAACACAACTTCCGGCTTCTCTATATGAATGGCGACCGGGCTATATATGTCGAGCTTCGACCCTCTAAACACACGACTATCACAAATTAACTTCTTCAACGACACTCTACTGTACCTTCTCCTCCAACCCACTCCTCCTTCATCTAATCTCCACACGCTCAAATAATCATCTTCTTTGTACATCTTTTCCCGCAGAATCATGTGCAGAACACCTTGCGAGACCCAAACGGTGGATGAAGATTCCAAATGATTCGCACTAATTAAAGCTGGGGGTAATGATATATGACGAATATCATCATCATCATCTTCGTCGTCGAATAGGCCGAAAGGATTCCACCCAACAAGCAATCCTCTGTGACGATTCTTCCAATACAACTTCCCATTCCAAGAAACCGCAATGTCCCATGACGACGAAATCAACGATCCCTCGACAGGTGATTTGCTCCAGCTCCGAGATCTCGAATAGAACACGTCCAGCTCCGAATACAAGTCGGACATGATCACGACGCAGAATTCGTAGCCGCAATGATCAGGAGATGCTACTTCTTTTCCGTCGTCCAAGTTCAGAATCCTCCTCGAATTAGAGGCAGGCTGCCGATCGCGAACTAATATTCTCGCAATCGATTTAGCCGACCTCTCGGGGGCTAGAGGCAGGGCGACCCACTGCTGCGTAAACGGATTGCAGACCAAGTACGACCTTCGCAATTCGAGATGGTTCTTCCCGCTCCAATCCTCGAACGTGAGCAGGAGCAGGTCCTCGGCGCAATCTAGAACGATGGCTCCGAAGGGAATTTCTTCGGGGACCGGGAGGAAGCTCCAGATCGGTCCCCGGACGCCCGAGGGGATCAGAAGAGGCGGCTCCGCATTGACGGACCGGCTCCGGGAAACGAAACGGCGAGAGAAGTAGGGAGCGGAGATGAGTGAGTTCCATCGCTTGCAGACGGATTTGCATCGCCATACAGATCTTGTGTCGCCGAGGCGGCTAAGAATTTCTATCAGGAGATCTTCGCCTCCCAGCAGTTTGCTGATTGGGGAAGGGGACGGCGGTGGCCTTGTAATAATGAGGTCTGTCCAGCGGAAAATCCTGGTCGCCATTGCTGCTGTTGGCAAAAGAACTTTGGGGACACCAAAAGGAGAGAGCCGGGGAGCAAGACGCAAAACAAACCCTAATCCTTAAAATAATTTTTGGTTTGCCTTTTTCTCGTAATTGTAATAGCAAAATCACCAGCAATTCTAGTATACTATAAAGTATTGGTGTTTTAATGTACAACTTAAAATTGTACTATAACGTTAAATGTATAAGTTCAGGTTGTACCATAAAGCAATTTGTACAATTATGTTATGGTACAACTTCACATAAAGGTACAAGTTCAACTTGTACCATAAAAGAATTTGTACAAAAACTATAGGTACAATCATCACATTATTATTTGTTGTCATAAAATTATTATTTGTTGTCCTACAAGTTTAAATGTTTAATACACAATTTATCGTAATTGTCCAAAATTAAATTTCAAATTTTAACTCAAACAAACACCACCACTAAACAAGATCGTGATAATCAATCTCGCGACGTCTATCTGCCTCGTTCGCGTGACCAACTTCAATGTCGGGTGCCTCCTTCTCCACAGGTGCGTGTGGAAGATCACGATCTTGTTTTCCTCGACGCGGAGCCGTATTCACATCAAACACACGCGTCCCACCGGGTGTGCCAAATTATTTCGACGCGAAAACCAAATACCACCGCTGAAATTTATTATCACCTGGGCGTCGTTAATCTCGCGACGTCGGCGATATCTAAAACCAAATTATTTTTAGGTATCAACGCCGCTGAAATTAATTATCACCGGTGTCGTTAATCTCGCGACGTCGGCGATATCTAAAACCAAATTATTTTTAGGGTGTAAACACACCCACGAAATCATCCTCAGCTTATACGACAATGCCGACGCACATCCCCTTCCATCCTTCACCGTCAGCTCTCTCCTTCACCGTAAGAAATTTTGCGGAAACAGAGGGCAGTGTGAACTGATCCCTCTCGACTTCTCCCTGACTAAGCTGCTTTGTTCTTGTAATATACATCGTGTTTTAGCAGTTATGTGTTCGGTGTTCCCTTCGGTCTGTTCTGTTCTTGTATTATGTTAAAGATTCATTGTGGGGTTTCATGAATGTTGCTCCTAGAGTTTTGTTTGGTGAAGAATATTATGTTAAAGATTCACTGCAGCACTGTCTCGGATAGATAGGGAAGTTCATCTTCTCCTGGCAGTAAGAGGTAGGGAAACTGGTTTTGGTTTTTGGAAAACAACTTTTTTTTAAGGATTTTATATGGATTATCCATGGGTATCTGTTTTCCGTCTCGTACGGATAATGTGGCAAAATTGAGTTGCAGATGATGGAATCTAGAAGGATTAAGGACTAAAGAACGGTGGCGTTTGGATGAAGAAGAAGGAGTCTGGTTGAAGTAAAAACGGCAGCATACCATTTATTTAGTTAGCCGTTAATTTAGACTGTTTGTTTAAACAAATACCCTATAATTTAAGAACATGTGGATTATTTTTGTTAATCAATTTTGTAGCTATAATAGCTACTGGAGACTCAATACACAGCTGAGCTTTCCTCTCCATTTCGCTTGTCCTTTTACAAAAGTTTACATAATGAGTATCCATTAACCTATACGAATTTAAAATATAAAATATATTTTCTTTCTCCAAATAGGACTGAAACAATCCCTTCCGGTTGCCAACCCCTAAATTCTTGTCCCTCAAATTGCAACAAACTATAGTCGTCTTACCACGAATTTTAATTCTGGAAAATACAATTCACGGCTTCTCATTGCTGCTATGTTGGGCCCAGCTTAATGGACTGTTTGCATTTACCATTGGTAGTGGCCCAATCAAATATAGAGTTCGGAGGGTGGTAGTCTTCCTGGGCCGATTTTGAAGGCCCGTTTGGGTCTTCTCAGTGACTTTTCGGTGCCTCAGGCAGCCGGCTGACATCCAGAGTTCCAGTTCCCCCCAAAGCTCTCGTCCAATGCAAAAATGGCGACCAAAAATTACCGCCGAAAAAACACGAATTCTCTCCCCCTCCCCATCTCCAATCAGCAAAATCGGAGACGATCTCCTGATCGAACTCCTCATTCGTCTCCCGGACACAAAATCCGCCTTCCGATCCAAACCCGTCTGCAAGCAATCCCTACTTCGCTCGCCGTTTCGTTTCTCACCACATCGCCGGCGAATCCGAACCCGTCGCGCTTCCGGCTCCCTCAAACATCCCGGATCTGGTCTCGACTTTTCTTCCCCTGCCTACCGCCGAGGCCCGTTTCCGTTTCGACGTTCTTGATTGCTTCAGGGACCTGCTCTTACTCGGGTTCAACGCGAGCCGGAGCGACAACAGCAGCGAGCTGGGGCGAACGTTATTCCTCTGCAATCCATTCACCAAGCGATGGGTCGCCCTGCCTTTAGCCCCTCGGAGGTGGTTCAGGTACGACACATTGATTGCAAAATTTGTCCGCAAACCCTGTTTGAATCATGGCCAAGAAGAAGAAGAAGAAGAAGAAGCGGTAGTATTTACTTGGGAGTACCGATTCCGCGTGGTTCGTATGTACGCACGCGTCCCCGATCCTCAGGTCGACGTGTTCTGCTCGGAAACTGGGGAATGGACGAAATTGGGGCTCAATCTTGATGGCGATTTGAGGCGGACTACTCTAGGTAATCATGTGGTTTCCCACAACAACGGGAAGCTGTACTGGAAGGGTTGTGGTGGTCAAGTTGTTGAATGGGATCCCTTCTGCAGCGCGGTTGCACCTCGGACTTCGATGGATGCTCCTAAGGTCGAATTTCCGGCCGTGGTTTGGGTATTCCGGCCTCGAATTCATCTCTGGCCTACCCGGGTTCCAAGTTTACTTGGCGATTACGATGGAAGCTACCGCTGTTGGCTCCGACCGTACACAGATGCTGGCTGAAGAATGATATGCTGCTACTGTACACATTCGGTTTTTCATTGGTTTTCAGGCCTACAGGTCTCTTTTTCTTTTTAGTGGCTTCAGTCCTGTCATTTTTTGTTGTTCATAGTAGTTCAGAGAGGATATCTTTAGTGGGCAACTATAATGGATACTTCTGGGTTCTAAGCTTCTGCACATGATTATTTTTCTCATGGGGGATATCTTTAGTGTTTGGCGACTAGAAGAAAATAATTGGAAGAGACATTATAAAGTATCGATGAAGAAGTTCATGTGCTTGATCTTCTTGTATTGATATAAATATATAATGGATTGCACCCAGATTATTTTGCACAACAATTTCTAAGCACAACGGTTCAAACAAAGTTCGAATAAAAGTGTTTGATTGATGGTTTACGGGAATGTCTGTCTACAAAATGTAGTCTGCTTTGATAGTAAGGTGGTAGACGATGGCTGGGTTGGCAGAGCCTTCGTCGCAAAAAAAAAAAAAAAAAAAATCGCCAACGTTGGAAGATAGTGGAGCTGACTAATGTCCGTGGTGGCTCGCTAGGATCAGCCGTGAGCCTGTGACTAGGGCTGTTAGTCGGTGCGGTTTCAGTTTAACCGAACCGCACCGTCGGTTAGCCGAGACCGAAAACCAGACCATTTCCTCAACCGAAGCCGACACCGAATGCAGCCTCGGTTAACCGCCAACCGTAACCGCCGGTTTCGGTTTGAGAGGACGGTTAGCCGAAACCGCCAGAGACTCGGTCCGGTTTTCGGTTTTCGGTCAGAAACCGCCAATAACCGACCAATAAAACCGATTTCCGTGAATTGCACCCAGCACACCTGCTGCCTTTTTTTCTAAAAACCTGCTGCTGCCTTTTTTCTAAAAACCTGCTGCTCTATTATCAAATCAGAACATAAAGTCTAAACCAACCACAATTAAACCACAAGTCAAATCATCATTCATCACACACCATAAATCTTTTACATGCCAATAATTCATCAAGTCACAAGTTCACAAATCACAACAAGCCACAAATAACAAGTTCATTCTCCAAATCATCAACCTAAATTCAGGGATCTCGCTCCAAATCGTCTAGCCCAATGTCATCATTTACTCCAAGATCTTCATTCTCGTCATGAGGATTGACATCGGAATCATATTTAGCAACATCATCAAGTCCATCAACCATGGGGGTAGCATCTCTTGCTCCTTGTTCTCCTCTTCCACGACCACGACCACGTGGTTTCTTACCACATCCACCTCTATCCCTGTTTTAATCAATAAAAACAAGTAAATAGAACAATTAGCATCATGTAACATCAACAATTAGCAACAGCTTAAACTCAAGCAGGATTGAGTACTAATTAAAGGGGAAGAGAAAGAAGAAGAAAAAAACGAGCAGAGACAAAGTTTGGTTTAAAGAGGGGAGAAGCAGGAAAAAGTCAAATGGTGAATTGATTCATTGACAAGAACATACAAAATCCCAAAGACAAAAGAAAAAAAGAGTTCACAATCTGACCAGAAGAAGTCAATACCCGAACCACACAAATTTCTTTGGGTCTCTCTTCTTCTTGCTGCTGGCAGTGAAAGAGACTCCCATCCCCCTGCCCTCCTTCCAGCAAGCAAAAGAAAAAGACACCATTGTTTGTATTGTATGGTGCGTTCTTGACTCCCTTCATTAATGGAACTCTGACCATTCACTCAACTTCCCTCCCTTCCTTCCTTCACTACTATTACTACTACTCCTTGTTCCAAGGTAACAGCTAAGGAAAAACCCACAAATCCCTACTAATGTTTTTGTTCTGTTGGAGACTTACATTGGTGATGGTGAATCGGTGATAGAACAGGGCAGAAGACGGCGGGAGAACAGGGCAGAAGACGGCGGGATTCCGGGGCAGAAGACGGCGGCGACGACGACTTCTGTTGGAGGACAACGGCGACTCGAAGGCTGGGAGCGGGACGGCGACGATGAGACGAAAGCTGGGAGCGAGAGGAGTGGACGGCGCTGCGACGGCTGACGGGCTGACGGCCGACGAGCTCGACGGGGACGACCGGACGAGGCGACTGGCGGCGAGGGGACGACCGGACGAGGCGACCAGATTAGGTCAGAAATGGGGAGGAGTCGAGGAGAGGAGCGGCGGGTGAGATGGGACTGGGGAGAGGCGGAACAAAATCAAAAATGCGATTTCGCCATTTAGGTCAGGGGAGGAGGGGACTGGGGAGAGGCCAAAGCCAAACGACGACGTTGTTAAGTGTGGTCGGTTTTTGCGGTTAATGTTTATGGTTTCGGTTTTTAACCGCTAACCGCTAGATTTGCCCCACGGCTGGTGCCAGCCAACCGCAACCGCAAACCGTAAGAAACCGACGGTTTTCGGTTGGCACAGGGGGATTTTGGTCGGGGCGAGGAGCGAGGTCAAAGACGTGAGGACCAACAGAGAAATTCAGGAGCTGGGTCGATTCTCGATGGCAGAATTCAACTTCCAGCAGCAGAAGCAGAGGATTGTGAAGCAGAGTGGTGGTAGTGAAGAGGAACAGAAGACTGCGGCTGCTTTGTTTGGCGAAGACGAAAACAGAGGCTCTGTTACAGAGCTAGGGCAGCCTGAGGAAGACTCTCCTTCCCAAAAACGACAGCGTAAGTCCCAGTCTGGCCGAGTATCTACTTGCGGGTTGCGTTTCGGTTTTGCGGGTTTCAGTAACCCGAAACCGACACAATTGATATCGGGTTGGACCCGAAAAAACCGAAACCGAGAATGAAAAAACCGGTTCGGGTTAACCCGAGAATCTGAAACCGGATTGACAGGCCTATTTGCAGCTGTTCTGGCCAATTCTGGGGGTAATTAGCAGGGTAAAGTGAAGTCAAACTTCCTCCGGGATTGCAACTACATTGGCAGCTACAATGGTAATAACACACATGGATTTCGCTGCAACAACAAGAGGTTGGTTTGAAATTGGAGATTTTAATAACGTGAAAGCTATTTTCCATTTTGCGTAGTAATAACATTGCTTGTGTTTTTCCAGGTAACTGAAAGACATTGGTTTGGCATTCCTCTTCTTTATGACATTGGTATATAAAAGCCTCGGTTGCCATTACTGTTCATTAGTGGCCCCTACTCTCTCCTCTGCGACTGGTGGAGGCCCAAACGTTTGCCCTTCATTTGTCCACGTGATCTGCTTCTCCTCTCACACAAAAACCCTCCAATCCCTATTACCCCACTCGCCGTCCAAAAACCTTGGTATTTACTCTTTGTCCATCGGATGCTACTATGTACCTCTGCACTCCCCACTCACTTTTGCTTCTCCTTTCCATACGCAACCTTCACTATCACTCTGCTTCATCTTCTTTCT